GTCTCCAGCATGCGGCAGAGGGTGAGAATAGGCAGGGTGGCAGCGTAAGGCTCTATGGACTCTTCAACCAGCTCTGAGGTCGAATCACCACCTGCTTGTGCGGTCTCCCCATCCGCCGTGGCCTCCGCCTCCGTAGCGGTGGCCGGCTGCTCCGGGGGCTGTTGTGGATTGCTATTCTGATTTTCCTCTTCACTCGGCTCATCCTTTCCAATGGTCAGGTTGGCTGGCAGAGTTTTGTCGTCTTCACAGAACTCTTGGTTGCAGGTGCCGCAGCGACACCAGGTCTTGCCACTGTGGGCAACCATTATATGCACCTGGAAGGGAATAAGACGGAATGACCAGAATATGTTTTGTCGAGAGTTGTTGCATGGGGAAAAGGGAAGGATGTATGGGATATTGGGTGAAGAGTATACAGCAGATGGTATATCCGTAGTGGTCGCTGCCGGCTGACGCCCTCCACTGATTTGTCCGGCGTCATTTTTTGAGGCCAGCTGCCTCAAAATCATCAAATACCTAAGTCAGCGCTTACAGACGCGCTGACCTGCAGAGGCTTGACCTACTTCCACTCGGGGACACACACGTGCGTCTAGGTTCTCGCGGCTGCCCAAGCACCACTTGAACAAGTCCCTTTTTCCCCACCCTCGGCCGCCACACATCACTTCGGATCACGCCGCTCTAGCGAGAGGTCGTGCTCTCCGTAGTCAATCTCTTTCCTTGTATTCTTTGTTCTTTTGCGTACAGAATAAACTGTTCCTACTATTCTGGCCTCCACCGACTTCTTCTCTACTAAGTAACCATGGTCTGAAGATCGCAGTTGCTAGGGTTTAACTTACTTTACCCCCTGCGATATATCTGATGAAATGTAAAGGTCTACATTTGAGCGGGAGATTTAAGACACCTTTGAGTTTGCTTATTTCTTCATTGATTTGACTATAGGCGCAAAATGCTGATTACTAGAAAAGAGTTCTGTTCAGATCAGTATATTGGGGGGCAAATAGGGGCGGAATGCGGCCAAATCCAACTTTTCTTGATAGTTAAGGAATTGTCTACCATATTTAATGCTGCAGAAAAACAACTTCTTGTTCGTGCCTGTTGTAAAATACGGGGACATTAATAAACACCAGAAACTTTTTAATTATATGTGTTCAGAGAACAAATAATTTTGTTTTGCATTCATGAAATCGAGGTTAATTTTATTATGAGATAACGCATTATTGTCGGGAAAAGAAGACCGAATTGTGTTTAAAAAAAATTCTATTTTGTAAATCGTTCAGTTTTGTGCCATAAATTTACGTGATAAACGTATAAATGTGCAATTTGTGTAACCCCACCAAAAATAACGACCCTGACCACTCGAGACATGCCGTCAATTTTCTCTGTATGTTTCCCAATCGGCAAAATCAAGCGAAAATTTGGTTGCCTTAGCCCGACGTAACTCAAGTAATGTATAAACGGTAGAAAAACTAGCAATCCCGTGAAAATGTGTTGGAATATATACTCGAACTTTGGGCTGTTCGGTAACAGCCATACATTACATTGCACGTAATATGGAAGCACATATATCCGAAAATTGTACAAAATAATTATTTTCCAACGTACTTCTACCTGTTCTGCTTTATTAACTCAGTGTTTTTGCATGAGCAGGTTTCCTCTACATTTAAAAGCTAAGTTTACCTAGTACGACCGATTTGCACTTTTTGCTAAAAAAGCTGGTATCTCTAAACAATGTAATATTGCTTGGTAAATCGCAACGACCATTACTTAACTGCTGTAAGACTTTGGTGGCCGCAGCTTGGGCTTCGTTCGCCTAACAGGGAGTTTCTAGTAAAAATTATTGAATTTCATGAGGTAGCCGACCTGCTGTATACCTTAATTAATAAACATTTGCCGCACGAATCAGCCGGTCAGCTCTGATTTTCGTCTGGGATTCAAATCGCGCCTCTAGTAGCACGAAACTAACCTCGATGCAGCGGCCCGATCCGCCTAACTGCCTGGCCTGGCGGGATAAATCACCGGCAGCGAGACTTCGCATTACCCTCGCGAGCACTCGAAGCCAATCAAGCTGCGTCATTCACTGATTGGCTGTGAGCGGACGCAGTCAGAGTAAAGGCGTGTACACGCGCCGAAGTCAAAGAATCTAAGCGGCGGAGACACGTTTGTCTGAAGAAAGAGAGAGAGAGAGAGCTTGTGATAATTGCCTGCAGAGCTTCCAAGACGTTCTTTGTCTCAGTAGAAGCTGGTCCTACCCAGTCTCTGTTATCCGACTTCTAATTTAAGAACCTTTCCATTGCTGATCACTGGAAGCTCACCTCAACACCCCATAATGACGGACGGACCTTGTGCTAGGTCTGCCCTTGCGCCCTGTCTCACAGCCAGTCCTCTTGTCGTAGTCTTAAAGCTCCTTCTCGGTGAGCAACTGATGCTCGGGTTGCAGCTATCGCAAGGGGTTAAGCAAATCAAACCCTAGTAACTGCTATCTTCAGACCATGGTTACTTAGGAGAAAAGAAGTATTGGGAAGGCCACAGTAGTAGGTGCAGTATATTGTGTACACAGCTGAACGATGAATACTAGGGAAGAAGATTAACTACGGAGAGCACGACCTTCCGGTAGAGTGGCGTGA